CTGGGCAGCTCGCGAGGAGCGAAGCTCTGAGGCCTGGGAACTGATCCAGTATTTCTCAGGGTGCTTCTTCCAGCACCGCTTCTGAGAGCAGCCAGGCATGGGCCTCCCAGACACGCGGTCCCCTCCCTGCCCCAGACTCGCTCCCCGAGCCTTCCCCGTGGTCACAGGGCTGTTCATGCCGGGCCGGCCCCAGCACCTGTGCGACCATGGGGCTGGCTCCCCAGAGCCAGGGGCTGTCAGACCGCAGGGCAGACGCGCCCCCATGGCCGCTCTCCTGTTCCTTTCGCAGGGATGTGCAATGACTGGCTGAGGCAGGTGGATTTTGACCCTGCACAGACGGATTTCGGCGTCGGGGCCGAGGGTCGGGTGACCTGTCGTCAGCAGTTCCAGCAGAACTCGTTCAATGTGACGTGCAGAGAGACGGAGTCGGGACGCTTCGAGTGGGATTTGGGTGCAAACAAGTGTGTCAGTGAGTGTGGGGAGCCGGCCCTGGGGCTGGCCGGGTGCCGTCTGGCCGGGGAGGGCTCCAGCCAGGCTGCTGAGAGGCTGTGGGGAGAGTCCTGCTGCAATGAACTGCTTCCCACCCACGGTGTCCCTGGGGGGGCAGACGCGTGGCTCTGATCCCGGCTCCTGGCCCTGCTCCCCGTGCAGGAGCAGGAGAGACCAGGAACACCGTTCTCCCCACGGCCCAGTGGGGCTGACTGGTCTGCACTCGCCCTCCCCACGGCAGCCCTGAGCGTGTGAACGGAGTAAATGTACCTGAGCACGTGGGGCCTAGTCCTGAGAGGGGCTGATCCTTGCAGCCCCCCTGCCCCCTGCTCTTGTGGGCGCCCAGCATGGTTCAGGCTCAGCCCATAATACTCAGTGGAGTCTGCCTGGTTCCAGTGACCCCCAATACTCTGCTCTCCTTTACCCACAGGAAAATGTAAAATACCCAGAACCTGGGACCCCAGATTGCAGTTTGCCCCCAAGAGGCAGTTCTCCGCCCTGGGTGAATCAGTGACACTGAGCTGCCCTGAGGGGTATCGGCCGTCACCGCCTGTGATCGAATGTGTCAGAAATGGGAACCAGTCTGTCTGGAATGAGACAGCCACCTGCCAGGGTAAGTGTGAGACCCCCTGAGTCACCGCGGGCACAGGGCCAGGCCGGCAGCCAGACTCCGTGACACTTTGGTATCTCCGGAGCCAGGTGGATTCTCGCCCCATAAACCCTCTGGTTCGTTTTGGCCTTTCAGCCTCTCGTATGGGGACCTAAACCCTGCTGGAATTGCAGGGGCCTTGAGCCAGACCCCAACTCCCCACCCCCACAGGCCCTGGGCCCAGGGGTCAATAAGGAAGGGCAGGACCAGCCCAGAGTCTCCCCGTCACCAGCGTGTCCGTGTTCCTCGCCTTTCCCCAGCCCTTTGCTGTGCTGGTTTCTCCCGGGCTCCCTTTGGCTCAGCTCTGCCCCAGGATCACCCGGGGGCGGCCAGCGGCACCTTTCACCAGAACAGGATTTGCAGAGACTGGACATTTCTTTCCCTCCAGGGGTTTGTACGACGGCAGGAAACCGGCCCCCGTCGGGTCCTGCCGACG